GAGGGGGGGGGGGGGGGCGCCACCATCAAATCATAAGCATAATAATAACACGAAGGGGAGGGAATTCTTCTGCAACCAGAAGGCAAGAAGCAAGAGGGGGAAAAGCGATGAGTTCACCAAATACATGGAGCCCAGGAAGCTCAGTCTGCCTGACTCGTGTATTTTCACAGAAAATGACGGTGTGGATTCTGCTCCTGCTAGCTCTCTACCCAGGGTAAGACTTGGTATTTTCGGCGTCGTTTTCTTCTGGAGAGGTGGGGGAAGGGGCAAAGATGTGGCATTGTGGAGATCACTCCGACTGAAAACACTCTCCTAGGATTTTTGGTTTGTAATTTAGGGAAGTGAATATATGAGGCGGGAATGGGAGGTATGGAAAAGGAAGGTGACGCTTGTTTATTTCTTAATGAACTGGATTTCGTTATTTGTTTCATTTTGGAGTAGTAAAGCAAACCCCATAAAAGACTTTGCGTTTGGGGATGTCGTTTTCACATTGCTGCAATCCGCTGTGGAGTTGGGTTATGCTGATACACGCCTGCGTTTGAGGCCATGTTGGAGGCTTTCGGTGGTGGTCTGGGGGACAACATTTCAATTGGGGTCTTGGCGCTCACCGGAGAAACATGTGTGTGGGAGGATTGGGGGCAGGGAGAGCTCTGTCTCTGCTTAATAAAGTATTCCTTGCTTGTGTACCTGGGAATTTGCTCAGCCACGTTTTCTATCCAGCCCCATTGACCTAGCAATCCCACAGCCAAACATGGTTCAGCACCAAGGACAGCAGACTTGTTTAGGGCCAGCGGGAAAGGGGGTTGTCCACCCTGACTAGACCTCTCAGTCTACACAGGACACACATACTCTGGACTGGAAGGCCCAGGAAACCAAGGCGATTCTACGCTGACTATTGCTACTCCCTCCTTGGGGTTGAAGAGGGTCTGTTGGGCATGAGCTGGGGAATATATGTGTGAAAAGATCTGGCCTTACTAGAGTGTTGAAAATTGTGCTGAACCAAGTGAATAAAATGCAAAATCTAAAGTATGCATTAATGCTTCTGGCCTTGCTGCACTAAGTAGGAAAGTGGTGTGGGGGCGGCTGCCTCAAACTCTTAAGCATGTGTGTACTCTGAATGCTCGACATCTAAAGGTTCTTTTATTTCCTGGGAGAATGTCAGGGGAGAATCCTTTCACACAGTGTGGTACAACATTCATCTACCCAGGAGAACAGCACCCATCTCATCACAGTTTCCCACTAAGAACATGGGCAGATCAGAGACTATTACGGAGAACATCCACTCAGCATACCTCGTCCCTCCCTCTCTAGGACGGGTGATGGGATCTGGGGAGTTCCTACAAAAAGAATAAGGCAGTACAATCCTAACTCTGCAATTTCAAAGCAAAGACAGGGCCTGCTTAATTATTCTAGTACTTTTTATATCCTACTCCTTCACACACACAGACACACAGACACACACACACACACACACACAATATATATATATATATATATCAAATCTCATTAAACAGTATCAGATTAAGAAGTTTTCTCAGAGAAGGAGTGAATCTTTTACTAGAAGTGGTTTTCTATGTAATGCATTTTAGTGGAACCCTAGAAAAAATAATTTTTCTATTCACAGATAACATATTTAATGTGTTTAGTTTGAAATCTTTATTTCAGAGTCTAGAGATATTATTTTTGCTTACTGATAGAAAATATCCTTCCCTCATTTCTACAATTTATGAAACCTGTGGATTAAACCTAGACAAGAGGTGGGGGAGTAGATCTTCTACAAACAACTTAGTAAACAAATTTATGACTAATTAGACGAACATATTCTTATGTATTATATCCAGCACTGACATTTTAGCAAAAAATGTTCAGTTTTTATTGTTCATAATATTATAGTATTTAAGCTGCCCCCTTATAACAGCCCCATCTTTTTTATTCCAATATCATATAAAAATCAAAACTTGAAAATATATTTTACTTCTCAATTTGTATAAGAGTAGCCTAGATGAACATTTTAAATACTTTTATGTAATGGAAATCATGTGTCTTGAAAATCCTAATTACAATATCTTTCTCTAGAATGTGAAAAAATATATAATAATACAATTATTCTCATGTTCAGGTATTCAAAGACATTTAATTTTATGCTATTTTTAATATGATCCTTAATCTACTTGAATTTCCCTAAAACTGGTTTATTGAAAAAGCTACACTTAGAAGACTACAGTCTAGAAATTACGTTTTGTCCTCAGGCCTCATCTGTTGAATACATCTTCCCCATATTTGGATAACATCTCAGTAAATCCCAAAGCTTTTCCACTCATTTAGTTGTTTTGTTTTATTTTTTCACATTTTCTCAGTAAAGAATCATTGCAAATCGGTGCAGGAATATGATCAGAGTTTCAGTTTGCTGCAATCTCATAAAAAAACTATCTGAATGGCTGAATAGGGCTGGAGGGAAATGGAATCTTCAATCTCTAATGATGATTTCAGAAAGAGCAACGTGTCAGTACAGACAATTTAAGACCCTAGAAACCGTTGGCGGTGAGTAAATAGTAGTAATAGGATCATACAGAAAGTTGGAGAATTTTTTAAATTCACACTTTAAATTTACAAAATCTCAAAGAATAAACTTTTCATTAAATGAACTCTAGTTAAATGACTAAATGCATTAGACTGTGTCTATATAAAGGTGAAATGAGGAGGAAAACAAAGTACTGGATTAAACCTATTAAAAACTAATATGTCTTCTTAAAAGTGAAAAAATGAATTTTAAAAATTCAAAAATTTCTCAATTGTCACCTATCTTATCTGTGATGTTATCATAACAATCACCTGAAAACTTTTTGAAGAGGCAAGATTCCTAAACCAAACACTAAATGATTCTAAATCACCGTGTGTAGGGTGAAACACAAGAGTACTTATTTTTAACAAGTTCAGTAGCTCTCACTCTGAAGAAAGAGATCTTTACTTTGCTGATCTCCCAAAGTTTATCCATCACACTAGCTAATATTTACAAACATTTTGGTTTCTGGTACTTTATTATTCAGCTGGACACAATCAATTTCATATCCAGAAAATTTTAATTTATATGTAAATCAATGAGTGTAACATTCAACCCAGAAGGATAAGAGTGTAAAGAATTTTAATGAACTCACATGTATGAAACAATATTCACTGAAAACAATCAACCAAATGTAAACATATGAATATATGAATGTGTATGTCAGTGTATTAAAAACTCTATAGTATTCTACACACATGTAGTGATACACGCAGGTTGTAAAACAAATTTTATAAGTTGCATATTTTAATGTAACTTCTAACTCAAAGTAAAAATGACTTAAGCAGAAGAAAAACAAGTACAACAGAACATTACCTATAGTAAGCAGGAATAAGTGCTAGAAGAAAAAACATTTTTACTTTCTTTAGAATAAAGAGAGCATCTCATAATATAGAATACCTAAGAATCTCTTTACAAGGGTCAGATTCAATAAAAATGTACTGAAGTTTTGATAATGAGACTATTTTTTAAGTAAGTTAAATTAAAGATTCATAAATACTTTCTGTTCTTGATTTTTGATGAATACAAATTTTCCTGATAACACTTAAAAAGTTTTAAAGATTATATTTTATCCTATAAGCACATTTTACAAAGATTTTAACTTTCACAGACTATGACCATGCCCACAATTTTTTCAATATAACACTATAAAGATAACCTTGTCATTCCTTGCATTTACAAACGCCTCACGTAGTTTTCTCTAAAAAAAAAAAAAAAAAAAAGTTCTTTAGCATGTTTGATTGCTTTAGTTTTAGGCAGAGAATTCCTTAGAGTCTACTTGGTGCTAACATTTGAGCCAAAATTTGTCAAAATTCATTTGCTCATCAGTACTTAGACAAAACCCTTAGATAGTAGGAAGGAGATTAAAAATTGGCTTTTAATTTACAACATTGGCTACATAATTCTGCTTTAATATTTTAGAACAGGCCATCTCCTTAAAATTATTAAACCATGGAATTTAATGGTTCAAAATTTAAACCATGAATTTAACGACAGATGTCTGTTGTACACATTTTAGAATTTGTTTTATGTTACTTAAATTGGAAAGAAATTAAAGACGGATTTCACTGACTTTACTACTCTTGTAAATAGGATGTTAGTGCGGTCATATAAGTCTTTGTTACAATTTCCTATCCTTTAGAAGATAGCCCTTTCAGTATTTAATGTAAATGTTGTGTAGATTACTCAAGCTACTGCACTTATAAAAGAGTATCAGTCACAACTGATTAAAGAAAACAGACGTTAATTAGTGACAGATGTAAAACACAAGCAGCTATTACTTTATATATATGCCCATCTTTGCTTATTATTATGTATACATATCTATATCTATTTATAAATACACTTATTGTACTATATAACATCTAGTTATCTGTTGGCTATAAGTAGTTCATTTAATATCAATCATAATTGTATTTTCCTTGTTTGCCAAGTGCGGTTGAGTAGCTACTGTACAGTGGTAGTAAAGACTAAACATGTGGGTAGACATTCCACACATATTGTAAATCTATATATATAGTTCAGGGCATGTATATACATAATAAAAGTCAATTAGAAAATAGTACTGTATTTTTTGTGACATAGCACATAGGACACAATGCACAAATATAGCCACTCTTTCTAAACATAAGAAAGTGCTTGGATTGTTTTGAGAATCAAAAGACCACTCCAATTTGCCTTATGGAGGGGTTATTTCTTATTTATCTCTTCCATATACTAGAGAATAAAAAACTGTTAAAAGTAAATAAAAAGCTTTTATAAGTTACATAGCGTCTTAGGGTAAAAATAAAATTTAACTCCAAATAACATTAATCTCTATAGTATATAGTAGAAAGCACAAACTATGGTAATAATTCTATAGTATTACAAAAGTCATTGTATAACTTTGCTCAGAAAAAGTACCATGCAAATGCTAAGTAGCACTGATAACACACTGTACACCCATTCATAATGAAAACCATACAAATAAACTAACAGGGAAACAAGGGATGTTTGTAAAGCAAAGACCATTTGTAATAATTGAAAGCCTGCCACAAACCAAAATCTATTTAGTACAACTTTGATATTGGATGACAATGTAAAAGCACTAGAGTTTTAATTCCTAGAGGAGTAAGTTATAATTTCACAGTGACACAAATACACAGTGACTTGTA